TACATTGGCACGTGCATCAACAAAAAGACATCCTGGAGGTGAAGTGGGCTTATTTCATTTGCTTTTTTCTTCGCTAATGCTTTTGTAACATTAAACCCGGAGTCAAATAATGTCAATCATTGGGTCGTTTCATAATTTTCTGCTCTTCTTCCATAACTATCACTTTCCTAATCACCAGCATTCTCACCACTAGCTACTTGTTTGCAATCAGATGTCAAAATCAGACATAACGACTAATTTTTCTTTTGTATAGTTACCATCGCATACAAAAGGTTTATTTTTACTGCAACTAGTTTCTTCGCAATGTTAACGTGCCCACTGTGCCCATCATTTGTTTAGAAATGTTCGTTTCCTGATTTTCACCGAAATTTCGAGTATTTTAAAATGAAGTTCATGTGCCTTCTGCAAGGTATTGCGTTTATCCATTCTGCACAAAACCGAAGCTGAAGGATTCATTTCGGATCCTGTAAAAATAAAGTACTGTAGCAATGTCATAGCAGCACCTATTAGCGATAGGTCTAAAATTGACTATTCGCAATACTTTGTTTCTCCAGAACGACGTATAGTTCAGAGAAACACTAGTAACATCGATTTGCTTACAGTGAAAGTGGTATCGAGAGCTAGACTATGAAATTGTTCATTTTCTAGCCTTTTATTTGACGGTAAAAATCAGTTGCCATAAATTATTTTATGACACTGTGGGCTTATATCCTGAAGTGCTTTGTTTTAAAAATGATAGGTTCCATTGCAGGCCATTCAATAATGGGAAGCCAAAAACAACTGGAAAACGAAGACTGTGGGGTGCTGGATTCTCTGGTGGTATATGGGGTGCATCCTGAACTGATCGTACATATTTCCGCAGTTATTATCACTGGTTTGGAATGAGAAGCGGTAGTACCATGAAATGGACTTGAAACAAACGCAAAACTGAAAGATATCACAGAAGGATTCATGAGGATGTGAGCTACATTCAAAGCATTCGGTTAATGGATCAGTTTGCTCACTTTATTGTCCCGTTCTCCATTCGCATCATTGATCCTTATGAACGATTTCATTGCCTTATTTCTCATAAGTTGCCTTATGAGTTGGTTAGGTTATATCTGTCTAAATGCTGAATTAAACTCAACAAATTTGAGAACAAGAATAGTAGTTTTTGTGGTCTGGTAGTGCTGACGATATAGTTTTTGTGGTCTGGTAGTGCTGACGAGCTGGAACATTGGGTGAAGTTCACCTACTTGAGGCCCATAAGCTTGATGATTTGACTGGGATACTCCAATAAGTTGCAGAAATCTGGCCGTGAAAACCAGTTGGAAGGGAAATATGCTCGAGATTATACTCATCGCTTGGGAGTCGATATCTTTCGACTTCAATCCTCATTTTCGTTATTTCCGCATATTTCTCATAACATCATCATTGCAATACTTTTCTAGAGATTCAGTGAGTGCTTACTGGGCACGCACTATTAAATCACTATGAACTTGAGAATATCTCCAGGAGATGTAGCTGGAACACAGCAATTACTTGCTGAGTTGCAAAAACTTAACGACGATAAATGTTTTCATTTCCCAAAGACGAAATCGTTGGTTCTTAAAGCTGGAAATGTTGGTATGGGTCATCAAGCAAGTGCCAAAGTACATATTATTTCACGAAAAATAATACAAAGAGCAACTGCAATCTAAAGGTGTATCATAACTCATCCTCAGTAAGACTCGTTAAGCGTAGTAATCCTAGACGATGAAACAGTCTTTACTTGGAACCGACATGTGACAGTTCTTGCTATATACCGGTGCAGTTATGGTATATTAGTCTGATATAAAAAGTTTGGACAAGAATTCACGATTCCGATCGGCGGTGAAATGAGAGGAAAAGCATCTAATCTAATATGATTTCTTGGAAGAGTTCATTGTATAGACGTGTTCTCGTAACTGTTGTAAAGTGTAATATTGAGCCTCCTGAAATAACTAACTCATTGAAATTTTCGCTTTGAGGATGTATTAATTTATTAAGTCTTGCAATGAAAATATATCACGGAAACCGTTCAGTGCAACGTATTTCTTAACGATGTAATTGTTCACCCAAAGCAACACATATTTCTGGTGTAAGCCGACTTCAAAAAAAAACTTATATCGGCTGTTGAGCTGTCTATTTACATTCATTTACTGGCTGATCTGCTGCTGATGATTTCATGGACTGCCTCGTCTTTGCGGCCACAATCTAGTAGTAACCTTGTTTGCTTTATGTTTTGTCGTGCTCCGACCTATGATCCGATAACGGAAACAGATTTCAATGGATGAGAGGGACATATATGAAGAAAAGCGCACCAGTAATCAATTCATATATATTTTAAGAAAAGTGCACCATTTCATGTTCGTTAGCGACAATGATGTATGAACAAGATGATCAGCCACATTTGGTAGGAATGAGTCCAGACCTAAATGACTAATCAGATCAACATAAATGCTTCCGTGGAGGAGTCTGGGCACAACATATACCAAACATTCCGCTCCACTCTTTAACATGCCGCATATAAGTTGTGACTGATGTCTGATATTGTGTATCAAAATGTAAAGATTCAGAAATGCGAATCGAGGTCTGGAGTCGAAAAACATTAGTTGATGCATATTGACCCAAGTTACACAGGTCCTGGAGTATCTACAAAGGGTTGAGATGAGCCTAGTCGTATCGCAAAAGATTTGCTAGACTGCAACGACCAAATCTGGTTGAGGATATTGTTATCTATAGAACTGTTATACATCTTGCGTCTCAGATGACGGAACAATAAAGGAATCACTCCACTTAGTTTAACAAGATATGAACCTGTGTGTTCCATCAGCTTAACCTTGTGTTCCTAATTACCGTTGACGAGAATCTGCAAAAAAAATTTCGGAAGGCGCATATTCCGACGCAGTCACAATGTGCTCAAATTGATGACAACTGGAAAGCATTTATTCCATATTTGTACTGGAACAAGCTAGCTTGAATAGAACTCCGATTTTCGTGATTACATGGTCCCACCAAATAACAGGAATAGAAGGCAATACGAATGGAGGCAGGAAAAGAGCAATGGTTCAGCATAATGTTTGTTTGTTCCGTCACTCATTTTTTTTTGATTACGTGTTAATGAAAACGATAAGGCTAACACCACTACTTAAATTCTAATTTTAGGGATGACAGGATAGCATTGGAAGTCAACCAGCGGTGCGGCGATGCGTCGTTGGCCAGCATCGTGGGTGGTCCTGTGCAGCAACCCAGCGCACCGCCGATAAATCGTGTTGTAACCGTAATGGGATGAAATGTTTGTGTTGTGGTGGAGCAGAGTAAGCCAGGGCTAGATATGGCATGCTTTTTCCACCATGTCCCCTCATTTGGCGGGAAGTGATGGACTTGAGTAAGATATTACAGGATGGGTAGTCTGACTTTGTTGATTTCGTTATTATTTTGAAGTGAAACTGATTTATTAATTGGAAAAGTTACCTAATGTTTGAGAGTGCATATAATATGCAAGGGTCGGAAGTAACTAGGAACCACCTAATGGGATAATTGCACCTGCCAGGTTCCTGCACTAGAAAATCCAACATGATAAATACATGCCGTTCGTTTACAAAGCAGTTCAATGTTTTAAAGACAGATTATCCATTAGAACTTTCATCGTGACTTTTTTTTTGTGATAACTTGTCTAACAAACTATGTGCTAATCAATCATTTTACAATGCAAAGCAATATATGATGGATTCTGGTTCAGTTTAAAGGTCAAGGTCAGCCGTGTATCTATCATGGTTCGAAATTGGTGCAATTTGATAAAAGAGCGTAATCTTTATAGCAAAGCAGGATGACAAACAACCTTCCGTTCTAGCTTTGCTTCTCCATGTTCTGATGATGTACTGCAATTGTTCAGATGGTACAATACTCATCCCGCCATAAACTTTCGACATGTGGTACCACTTGAAGCCGTATGCAAGCAGTCATCTTATTTCCAGCTCTAAACTGTAGAAATAGAGTAGTCATACGATTTGGTTCAGTTGTTCAAACGAAATCTTTCAGTTAGTTCGGGATGATGGTAAATTTTCAAGAGATGACTGCTGGGTGTACGGAAAAAGACTACTACTAGTCTCACGAAGGGATTTACATCCATGAATGAAATTTTAGAAAGCTGCGGAGAAATCGGGGAAATCGAATTTAAGTTTTGTGGCTGCTTGCTGTGCTGTTACATCTTTGTTACGAATAAGGTCATATTTTTGTACAAAATTTCATTTGACTATTTTTAAAGAGCGTGACGCTTAGTACTGGTTGTTTGCTTTAAGTCAACACTGAATAATAATGACAAGGAAAATATTAGTCTAATGGATATTCAAAATTTGATTGCCGCGCTTCAAGAGGAAGCAGCAGTTGAATAAAGCATCCATATTTTTTTAGAAAGAACATTATGAATGAATGAAAAGTATAGTTTGCTGTAGCCTCTTATTGAGTGAAATAGTTCCGAACATTTGTAATAATGCTCAAGTTAGTAACATCTTTCCTACGTCTAAATTTTTATTCTTCAAAAACTTTTTCTTAATTTTATCATCTTCAAATGAAGATTATAAAATCCGTATTTCTCTCTGAAACTGAGAACGAGTGTCCTGGATATCTGGGATTCCAAAATATATCATAATTTTTTTTACTTATTCAAATCATAAGTTGCCAAGTTGCTTCAGGCTGCAAGCTTGCCATATAGAATGATTCCGGAGAGATCCACAATTCAGTGCTGTCTCCTTTTCCACTGCGTAGAACTGTGCTTCGAACAATTTATATCCGGTTCATTTCTGCTGAACTCCTACCTCCATTTCCGGTCGTTTCTCCTCGTCTATTACACTTACCATCTTGGAAGTCTCTTCAATAGTAGTAATCTGGGACTTCTTTTTTAGCAAAAATTTGACGAATGTTCCTCGGGGAATAAATTCCATTTCCAAATAATGGGAAGACGTAATGGATATTTTGTTCCCTAAGCTTTCATGCTACGGGAAAGAAAAATAAGGGAACTCCCTAGTCCATCTTCAATGCTGTAGCCATCGGATTCGGACAAAAAACCGGGAAGAATCAACAACGAGATCAAGTTTTGTGCTACTACAGCACTTCTCATTCAACTGCATTTTTGAACACAATACGGTAGTATGAGGTTTGCATTTTGCAAACGGAGGGATTTCAAGAGCGGTATGATGCTAAATTCGATAGGTGGCATTAGGTTCGATACGGTGACGTGTGATCATAGGATGTTTTGAAAGTACCTTTAACCGATCAATCTTCTGGCTCTAGGATCGATGTTCCGAGACATACGTTGGCTGAGCAGTCGTCGACAACAATTTATTGCTCTTTCTACAGAACAGATGGCATTTTATGAAGATGTTGGTGAGGTTCGACCAAAGTTACTTCAGTGTTTACCGTTCAACCAGACCAACGAGCTGGTAATGTGTTCCATTTTATTTCACACTGGTTTGGTGTAGAGGGCATGGTGGTAATAAACTTAAACAAGGTCGTACAACTTGTAGTTCATAGTGGTTTGGCTGCTGCATTTTGCTTCATGAGAGGAATATACATACAGAAGAGATCAAGAAAAGTACTTTTAAATAAATAAAGAAGTTCCTGGAACATTTGCTCGAAATAAATTCGCATGTAGCAATGGTATTCTCCATGGCTGTAAGCTGGGCAATGTTCTGAAATTAGGCTGTAATAATATTAGCATCACAAGAAAGATGATGACATTTATGAAAGGCGGTTTCAAAATTTTTTGTGTAAGCGTAATGATGTTTAGCCATCAACCTGAACGCAGACTGAATGGAGCTGAAAACAATCTTCAACAATATTAACAGTGGGAGATGGCATGCAGGTCCAACTATCTTTGATGATTTTAAATTAATTCGTTAGTGAAGAACGAAAGCGCTGTATATGAAATAGAGCTTACTTGGGTATTTTTCAGGAACATCTACAATGTTTCGACCTGAGCCCTTTGTCTGATGAGGCCTTAGCATTGGGCTATGCAAATGGCAAAGTAGTAATAACTAAGGTAGCTGCTGAACCAGATATTAAGTAAGCTTTTACTTGGATTACCGTTCAGAGACTATTCTTTGTCGTGAAACAGTGATTAAACTTTCTTAATTATCAAGTTATTTTCTTTCAACAGCACCAGTTTCTTGTTCGTGCATAAATTGGATCGTTTCAGTAATCTAAACGATACTGTGGAATTAGTGTCTGATGTGGTGAAGTCAGTTGCCTTCTTAAACTTCAGTCCAATAACAGATACTTACTTGGCTGCATGCTTAGAAGGGCAAGTTTTTTGTGTATATTCCATCGTAACCGCTAGCGAAAAGAAATAATTCTTTAAATTTCTCAAGGTCTTTTTTCAGTGGACGTTCCCAAGATTATACTGTCTGCGTGTGCGACATCAGCATTCCGAAACTGCATGTTTTTTGTGTTAACTGTAATGAACGCGTGATGGATTTGACTTGGCTCAGGTAAGCAGTAAAATTATTTCTTTTGACTATAACTGCAGTCGTTCAAAGCGTTAGCTTACTGAATCGTTATTCAGATTGTCTCCAAAATTATAAGCCGTCCATATGTTTTTCCGTTTTAATTACTCTAGTTTTGATTACTCTAGTTTTGCAAATTCAAAAGAGTGCCTACATATTTTGAAATATAGGAATGATCCAAGTATGCTGTGTTTGGGATGTTCACGCTCAATGAAATTTTTTGATATACGAGAAGGTGCGCGACCAATTTATTCCATACCTGTTTCAAATCAAGTGCGAAGCGTAACTGCTGGTGATGTACATTTTTGCATTGCTTGCATCATTGAAGATTTTGCTTGTATATACGACCGAAGGCATTTGAAATCTCCCTTGTATAGGAAGCAAATTTCCTATTTTGTAAGTTATTTCTACTATTTTGAAAGAATCTAATAAGCCAGCTATTTTCTTTTATATTAGTCTTTTATCACTATAATTTTTCCAGTAACTAGAGACTTCAGATTGGATCTAATAATGAAATAAGGAATGACCTTTTGGCTGCATAATGCCATTTAATGAACGGATAATATGAAATATTTTAGAAGAAGAATGACGCTGGTGCTGTAAAAATATTGTGGAATCCCCATTCCCCAACTTGTTTGTCGTGCTTCCGCCGAAATTCTAGGGTTGTCACAGAACTGATATCACCATATGAAAGCATTCTAGAAGAACATAGCATAACAGAAATTCCAAACGTATGTTCTGGTTGTTGTTCTTATGCATCACTGTTATCTATTCATGCATTGTTATTTTGGATAGAAGTAATAAATATTTTTCCTTGGAAAGATAGACGTGTTCCTCTATGAGTCAAGATTTGTTTAGTTTCCAATGTCGGATGCAATTGATTTGGTACAAGGTGGATTTCGTGGCACTCGATATTCGGAGGACATATGCTCTATGAAGTTATCACATCCTTACTTAGAATTGAGTTATAAGGTATGCTAAAGATAGGTCTTATTCTATTGTATTTGTTATTTTCACTCATATCCTAAACACCTAAAGCCATCATGCTTGAAGTCTTAGTTGCTTTGGTAATTGTTTTTTTTTGGCCGAAGTTTCCACTTGTAGTGAATTTGAACTTTCCAGTTCTTCGGCATTTCGAGAGTTTCTGGATTTAGCTGGCATCCTGAAAATTGTGATCGTTTATTGGTGGTGGCACCAGATGGAGGACGTGGCGCGTTTGAAGTCAGACTTGCTACGGTTTGTTGTCTAAGCGTATTCGTTGAAATTGTGGTGTTATGCTTGATTTGTCTTTAAAAATATTTTTCCTGTTTTTTTTTTCTTTTTTTTGCAGGTTAACAAGTTTGTGACAGGCGATTATTCATCACAGGGCTTTGTTGCCCATGCAAGTGGTTGTCAGCTTTATGTGCGCAATGCAGATCCAGTAATTGATGAATCAGCAGATATATCGTTTGTGATGAAGAGTCGTGCTGCCAGAAATTTTGGCTCTCCTTCAAGCACTACCTTAGAAGGTTGTTCAAAAGATGGAACTTCAGTTTTTTTGTTGAAATGTAATTCCCGACATATTGTAGACGTACTTCAAATGACTAATAAATCCAGCAACAGTATTCCTAGTAATGGTTAGAAATCAATTTCAGCATATACACGATCTTGTAAAGAGATCATCGATTCTTGTCCATATTCAACATCTGAAGTGAAATGGCTATGGAAATGGATACGCCACATGATTAATATCGTGGATTGGAAACCATGTATCTATGGGACATTGTAAGCTAGCGTTCATAATCTTTCAAGATTCTTCTTTTTGCTACTGTCGTCTTGAACTTGCAGGTTTCCTGGTGTTATGGATATAATGCAGTACAGTTTAGATCCGGACAAAGATGAACTTACTACGGAACAAGTGTTTATTTTTGATTCATTCCTCGGACACATCGTAGTGAGTTTTCAACCCGTCTCGAATTAATTGCTGTGGGTTTTACTGTAGGTCTCTTTTCGGTTGCTCAACTCATGTCAAAATGAGGAAGTTCCTTAAATTATTTGAAGCATTGAAATTTTTCCTTCGTCTAAATAATAAAAATCCCGATCGTAAATCACCTGCACTTGGATTTTTCTGCAAAAGCTTAAGCTCTAGTACACCTGGACCTTATGAACTATGTGATGCCTTTCGAACTGTCCCTTTAATGCTTTTGCGTTTCTTAATTACTTTTTTATTCTATCAATAACTTTTAGTTCATATTGTGCAAACTAAGGAAAAAATGCAGTAAAAATTCGCTTTCATCTATCTTGGTAAATGTAAAAATCACTATTGCTGATGCTACAGTTGTACAGAGGGAAAGAAAGAGATCGGGTGCTTCGTATATGTGGTTGGCCTGCTCTTGGAGACACCATACAACTCGATGCATTTATTGATGAAAACGTAATAGAAAGGTGAGTTGCTTACTGACTTCATCAAGATATCCCTCTTATTATCGTCGTTAGAAGAAAAAGTAGCAGTAATATGAGTAACGTTGCTTTGGTCTCGCTTGCAGTTATTCATTTTTTTGCTAAACACTTTTATCCCTGCATTGTTATTTACATATAAAGTACTGAAGAGCATAAATTTGGTGCTTTTTCTTAATGCTTCTAAAAGCTTTGCTGTTGTTCAGGAGAACGCAAAGTCGGGCAGTAGCTGCAGCGCTCGTTACAGCTAATTCACCCAGGATGGAAAAAGTGAGCTCATTTAGAACTGCTGTTAGAGAAGTGTATGATGCAATGATTTTTTCCCATCTTTCCATTTTCTTTCAGACTCTGAATTTGATGTTGGAGAAGGCTAGAGAGTCAAATGACGAAGGTCTGCTGGAGTTGGAAGCTTTTCAAGAAGCTTTGCAGAATTACCAAGAGTTGCGAGAACAATGGTTACCTTTACATGCAATTTATTAAGTTTATTCTTATTCCATTCCTGTCACTGCTCGGAAATTATTTTAGGGAATCGTTTTCCGAAAGTCTCAGAAGCACTATCAAGGATCCGTATTTCAATATGATTTTAACATTTCTAGATAGCCGTCGTGATAATTCTTCTGACCTCCACTGCATTATCTGTCAGCAAGTAAGTTACACATCCCATTACTTCATGAAGTAATTTAAAGACGTTTTCAAGAGGAAAGTGAATGAATTGAGCATTGTTGGCCTTTCTAAAAAATGGATGTATATGGGATTAAATTTCAGGACATTCCGTTAGAAGACAGGATTGCTTTCGCTGCCATTCACTTTAGCGACCAATGTTTTATGAAGTCGATGAGGGAGTTATTCACAGATGCGTGTTTATACCGGTCACTTTTTGGCTTGCTCATCATTGGTATTTCGTATGAAAGGGCTACTCATGACTTGTTATCTCAGTGAGTGTCATTATCATGTTTACTTGAAGGAAACCAGCGAATGCATTATTCTACTGAACTTTTTGACCACAAATATATTTTGTGCATAAGACGTTGAAATAATGCGAAGGGTGTTTTAATATTTAGATACGTGGATTACACGGGAGACATACAAACAGCTACAGTTCTATTGGTAGTGGGCCGTTGTTTTGTGAAAGAACAATCCTGGCCTGTAGCTTATTCGGCCGAAGGGATTGCTAGCAGTGATTTCGAGTTACTGGCTGTTGAGAATAATGAAACATTCACTGAATTGTGAGTACCTTTCAGTTCCTTTAATCAAGCCAAATCTGCAAAAGTGCGCCTTGAAAGCCCAATATTAACATATATATATATTGTTTACTCGATCTCGTTAATATATCTGTCTGCTACATTGTTTATTATTTCTCTCAGTTAACTGAAAGTGGATGCTTGCAGAGATGAACATATGAGACGCAGTTGTACCATTGTGTGTGATTATCTGGACATGCTAAACACATGGGATTTGTGGGTGCAGAGGGCTCGTCTTGATTGTATACTTGGATGGAGACGAGATACCGTCCCACCAGAATCAAGAATGAATCGGAATACTGTGCAGGCTTGTTTCCTTTGCTTGAAGCTCTTCTAAAGTGTTATGTGTTTACACATATAATTGTTTCGCTGCTTATGACTTGCTTTCCAGGCTGAAATTTGTTGTCAGTTTTGTCTCCAGAATATTGCATTAGATAAGTCGGATATCTTAGCAAGTTCCGTATCTTCTGCAGTACTCGTACCTGCAACCCGATCAAACATTTCGACAACGTTAGTTACGGCGGATTGACAATTTTCTATCGTGTGTGGTCACTTGGTATTTATGGTAGTTAGTTCACTGATTACAGGGGAGCATTCAGTTGATGTATGCCAAAGTCTAACGTGTTTTCTTAATCTTTCGAGTCTGTAAAAAACCGGTGATTCTAAGTATGAAGTATGAAATGACTAGGCGTTTACTTTTAGACCATCAACTGCTCCGTCAATTCCAGCTCGAGAAATGGCATGTCCCCGTTGTTTGAAGCCACTTCCTAAATGCATACTGTGTCGTAGACACATGGGTTCATATGTGCAGACAGAATGTCATGAACTTGGCCTCTTATCTTCTTGGTTCACTTGGTGTCAGGTACTCCCTATACACATTTCCTTCTATCAGAACTTTGAAAATCGATGTAACCTGGTATATTAATTTACGAAGAGATCCGTTAGGGAATGAGTTTTGACCTATCGTTCGCTCCAGTGCATTACAAAATAATGATACTCTTTGAAAAAGAGATGAGTATCTCTAAATTATTTGTAAAATGGAAGCAACTAGTTCACTTTTGCATATAATTGCTCTTCCATGTTTAGAAATTTGAAAGGACTTAGTTCCTTACAGCACCCATTAATGATGCCATCGATGGGTACTGTAATTTCTTAAGGAACAAAAAAGTGACTCGTGGTCTGTTTGGGGAATTTAACCACTAAAATGTTTTTCAAATGATCTCATTAAAATATTGATGGTGTTTAGAGCTGCTCTTATTGTATTGTTATTTTTCCGCTGATGTCTATCGATCTCAAGATTTCAAAGGGTTATAAACTTTTCTTAGAAATGCCGTCACGGAGGTCACATGGCACATTTGTGGCACTGGTTCAACGGTCATGTAGAGTGCGCGGCAAGTGGTTGCTTATGTAACTGCAAAATGGAAGACATCGATGTCGTCGGATTAAATGTTGAACCACCGCAGCCTTGTTTATTTTGTGAAGATTCGTGCTAAACCCGATGTCGTGATCTACGAGGATATTCAGGGTTGAGAAGCTCAAAGCTTTAAGCTCTGTTCAGGACATTTTTTCTCTCTGTTCACCATTACCGTTTGAAAAAGGGAGGGGAACGTAGCGAGGAATCATTCAAAATGGTATCTTGTGTGAGAAGTGTAGATTCGAACTGCTCTTCTTATTTATAGATAAATTTGTGCGACCATTCCCTCTGTGCTGCTTACACTCAGCTGTGCTGTAACATCTGAGTGGGAATTGCATGTGATGTTGTCCAAAACACGGTTATCATCTCGTATTACCCTTATTAATGTTTTCGATGGAATACTTTGATAAAAATGCAGCTTGATTTAATTTATTGAAATCAAGTTACATTTTCATAATGCGGAATCTTGCATTGATGGAACTACTATCAACAACTCATTAACTTACTTGAGAACCTTTTTCCTGCAGAATCTGTAACACCGTTGCTGCTGGAAACAGCTTCGCGAACAGTTTTTAGCTGTTATGTCGGACTTGCTAATAAGCTATTACTAGTTGATGACCTGAAAAACTTTGTAGAGTTGATTTACTTCCTATTAGTAATATTAGCAGCAGGGGAACGAAATGTTCTTTTAAAAATATGTGAAAATGTTAGCGAGCGACCAAGACATTCTCCTACGGCAGTAAAAACATTTATACAAAACAAAAAAGTTGGTACCACTAAGTGAAAGATCTTTTTCGAATAGTCATTATAAATGAAAATCTTAGCAAGAAAAAAAAACGGTTTTAGAAGATTATATAACGATGTAGGAATTGATCGTAAATAGTAATCGATAATCCATCTGCATGAGAAATTCTAGATAATTACGGCTGTATAAAATTAGCTATGGTTGACAAAGGAATACAGAAATACAAATTCACGGTATATTTCAAGTGATCCCATTTCCCATACTTCGCAATTATGCTGACATAGTTTCCTTTTTCCTCCTAGAAAGTCGCATACTTGTTCGACATAACGCTGCTTCTAGGACGGAAGGCACTCTTTGGAAGTTCTTTTGTGACTCCTCTAAGGACGCATGCCTGCATCTGAAACTTCATTCCAACAACTATTGAATTTATAACAGTATGACGATGAAGGTATGGTTCTCGAGTGACAGGTATGACACACTAAAAATATGATGAGTTATTGCATTTTTTGCCATATGTTACTACCGGAAACTTCGGGACAAATGTGGATTGCAAGAACAGACGCAAATGTAGTTTGGAATTAGGGGGGAGGGGGGGGGGGGATCTTCTTTCAAACACTCGTTGTTTGTGCAAAAAGTCAGGTATGGCTATGTCTTGTAGTGAAGACTAATTTACTAATCTGTAAGCATCACGGTGATTACCGCTGAGATGATGAAATAATTTGGGAGGACCAGTGTAAACACATAAAGACGGAGTTGCGGGAAAGGATGCACTGAAATGTTGATACTCACGGGAATTGGCTGAAATGGGTGCTACTATACGCGGCTTTTTTGCCGAGTTCCAACATTTCAATGCATGGTGGGACTGTCACTGCGGTATATAAAAGTGTAGGCAGTCGTAAAATAGGTACCGTTCTTTTTTGAGACCATTTGAAACAGCTGGTACGAAAGCAACCGGGTTCAACAAAGGGACTGAGTTGATAAATCTTACTGGACCTCCTAAAATACAATTTACACTTTATAAAAAAAGCCTAAGTGGTAAGCCCTCGATTGGGGAAGTCTTTGCCTTGACGTCCTTCTTCTAGACCCTTCTTTTTTCATCACCAGTGTTAGGAGAAAGGATGATTTGACTTTCCTTATCGTTTGGAAGAAAGACGAATGTAAAAGTTACCGACAGCTTTCAGTGAGCTTTTCTGGTCTCGACGTTGTCGCTCCCTGCTATATTCGTCGAGCAGATTGATTGCTTTCATGAATCTCATTTCGAATTCCATCTGCACACTTGACACACACATCGATACTAGCGCCAATCCAACGATGAAAAATATGAAAAACACTGAACACAGTCCTCATTTATGTATAAGTTTTTAGCTACTCAAAACATATTTAATACTTCACCTAAGCTGAAAGATGATGAGTTTAGGTTAATAAACAGGAAAAAAGGTATGTCGGACGCTCATCAAGTTACGACTACTATAGTGAGTGAGGATGAAGTTACAAAGGAGGAGGTGGAAATTGATAAATTTCGCATAATGCGAGAGGAAGCTTACCGCATGCAAAATGAGGATGATTTGGAATTTCGTCCCCCAATCCGACAGTGGTTAAAGAGATGAAGAAGAAATAGAAAGCAGTGAAATA